GTGAGCACTGCCTGCGCAGTGGACACAGCTCCCACCGTGGCTGCCTTGGACAGCGGATGGGAAGCCTCGCTTGATTGTGGTGCTGTGTGGCTGGATTGAGATCCGCCCGGGCAGCTAGACGTGTTTGGGCGGATCTCAATCAAGCCACACAGCACCACGAATTCGTCCATGGGCGCAGGCAACTCGCAAGTGCTGGTTCTTCCTCTGACACGGACTGTGACAGCGCACCGCGTTCTTATGTGTGCCCGGGCTGTTGTGCGGATTGACACGTTCTCTGTGCACCTTCGCCCGCCGGCACGATGTTCCTGCCTCCTGCAGTCAAGTGGATAGAAAAGTGACCGTGACCTTTCGCTTCATTCATCACGCTGAGTTTAACATTGACACATGTGTTGCTACACACACCCAACTTGTATGACCTGGCAGGCGTACGCTCATCCCGCACGGTGCCCGCGCAGAGCTTGGCAGCCATGCTGCAGCAAGTTTCTTACATTCAACTTTGAAATCCCTCAGCTTGAACCCGTGAGCCAACCCTCACGCTCAAATCCCCGAGGTGCACGTTCCAGACAAGATCTCTCTGGTGCATTAGGCTCGTGTTGCTTTGTCGCTTGTGGTTGGTAGCCATGTCGCGCATGTTACGAGTCTGTCTGCTTCTGTGAACGTAAGCATGACACTTGTGGCTGCAGGTGGAGCTTGGATGATCTGATTCGTCTGCTGCTGTGACCGTCTCGCTTTGGGGACTTGCAGTGGAAAAAGAACATACTATCACCACGCTAGCACTACGCTACCATCGCAACATTACCATCACCACATTATCATCACCCCATTGCCATCATCGCGCTACCATCGCCTCAGCTATACACGGCCTCTCTACACTGCCTATTATATTTCATCTTCTTTGCGTTTCGCGTCCTTTTCGCTGTCGACGCCACACCTGCTTCCTATCCTACTACACCACACCACGATCACCGCACTGACAACACGACCAACTCTACGTGTCAGTTGATATCTTCGCACTGATTGCTTTCGGGATAATCGGTGTCTAGTGGGGATTGGTCAGCATTTCCTCGGTGTGACAATTGTCCATGAACGGGTTTAGGGTTTAGGGTTTGGGGTTTAGGGTTTAGGGTTTATGGTTCAGCATCTTATGAACTAGCTTTCGCTAGTCAAGCAGAACACCCACCCACCCAGAGAATCCCATACCATGTAGAATATATGTAATTTCACGGATGCCGATTGACCGAAATTACCAAACACCGGTGCCGATTGACCGAATTTACCCTACCTTAAGAGGCCTATGGACCGTTTGCGTAAGAACACCGCTGAGCAGAGGGACCGTTTTCGTAAGAACACCGGTGGGCAGAGGGACCGAAATTGTGCCAGATATAGTTTTGGAACCCAAAAAAGTGCACTAAATAGCCAAAAAAGTGCACTCCCACGGTCCCCCGTTTTGTGTATGTATATATCTATATATATATATATATGTGTGTGTGTGTGTGTGTATGTGTGTATGTATGTATGTATGTCTGTATTATATTATATTATATTATATTATATCATATTACATTACATTATATTATACTATATTCTATTCTACTCTATTCTATTCTATACTATTCTATTAATTTATCTTATATTTTTATTATTATATTACATATATATATATATATAACAGAGAGGGTTTAGGGTTTAGGGTTTAGGGTTTAGGGTTTAGCTGCTAGAAGCAAGAGAGATTGCAGGTGCCTCCGAAGTGCTTGCGGGAGGAGCCCTTTGGAACCGTTGCCCTGCCAGCCCTTTTAGGGTTTAGGGTTTAGGGTTTAGGGTTTAGGGTTTAGGGCTACTTTTCTTGTCGTTTTTGCAGGGCCTGCTTTTCATTCATCCCTGCAGGGCGAGAGGTGGGAACCCATCAACATGCCGGGGCAATCCCGCACCGACACTGAAAACTGGCAAGATTGCCAACGGAGATGTCTCAAGGCCAGCAAGTGGTTTTGGGTTTTGGGGTTAGGGTTTAGGGTTTAGGGTTTAGGGCTTAGGGTTTAGGGTTTAGGGTTTAGGGACCCTTGAGCCACTCCTCAGGCATATTAAGGGACCTTAGGGGTCATGTAGGGACTACTGAGGTATATAAGCACTATATAGGGTATACAGGGTATACATAGGGTTATAAAGGGAATAAGATTAAGGGCCTTTTCTGGGGTGCTTCCTTATATGCCTTAGGAGTGACACCGCGAGTGCACATGGCACGCAGGCTTGGAGGTTGTCCGGCTTATCTTGTTCAGGTTTCAGGTTTGGGGTTTAGGGTTTATAGGGTCTGGAGTAGTGTTTAGGGAGGATTAGGTGCCCGCATGTTTCCATCGATCCCGAAGGTGACCGGCTGCAGCCACTTCTCCTACTGGCAGGACGGAGGATGCCACCTGCAGGACTCGAAGTGTTTAGGGTTTTGCGACCTGACCCTAGAGAAGAAGGCATATAGGGTGCAGGTCACGTGAGCTGGACCCCAAACGACCTTCTGCGAGGACAGCAGCGCGACAATGGTGGTTGCGCCAGCATACGTCACATCAGGGCCACCGACCTGCGAAATGCAGGTGCCATGCAAACGGTTTCCTCCCTTGATGGGTTTGCGATATTGGGGTCCTTATTATAAGGGAATCCTGGTATTTGGGGGTTTATTTTCGGGACCCTTTATTTCGGTTTGGGGGTTTATAAGTTGGGACATGAGTTGCCTAAACCCTGATGTTCCCCAGCTGTCTCCATTTTCGGGTATGTTTGCCCGGTGCCCAAACCTCTTTCGTTGAGCAACAGGGCAGCTTCCGAAATTAGGCCTCTTCGGGCAGTTGGCCGAGGTCTGGGGCACTCCATGTCCTACAGAATCCCTTTAAGGTTTTCAGTCTAGGGTGTGCAATCCGACCTCAACTTCCGCACGCGGCGCGGCGCAGGTGTGTGCTGGTTGCGCTTTTTCCTCGGGAAATTCTTGTCAACGTTGTGCCGGTGGCTTCATTTGGCGTGACGGCCAATGCACAGCCTGCACCAGTTCCGGCGGTTGGCTTCTTGGATAATGTTGTGGATGTTTTGTCTTTGGGATCAAGACCATCAGCGTGGACACAAGCCAATTGAGACCGAATCCTCTGACATGGATGTTGACTTCAGTTTGCACAAAGGTTCGTGTTGGGCTCTTGTAAGTATGCTTGAACATTGATATTGTTTATTCCGAGTTACATGCAAGGCAGCGTTTTCAATGGTTTTTGAAGCACTGACCCAGGCTTAGTGTGGACGGGAGATCGTGCATGCAGCTGGCGGCGAGCGATTGCAGCGATGAGAAAGTAAGGGGCCAGTCGAGCAACGAGGCTTGCTGCCAGTGCGGTGGTGGAGTCGTTACGCACCTTGCCTAAACCCGAAACCCTACTCACCTACGGCCTAAACACCTAAACCCTGAACCGGGTTGGGTGTTTCGGGGTTTGCATATCCTCCGGTTTGGGGTAGTTGCGTGCTCCGGGTTGTGTCTTTCTTTGCGGTTGCAATCTAGGAGTCGTTCAAGTGTTCTTTGCATTGGTACTTCCATCCAGTGCCTCAATCATCGGAATAGGGCTTTAAGGGGTACAGCATAACAGAATGGTACAGGGACCATGCTGGAAACCCCAAAATCCTAAAGCAGAAACCCAAACTGTTTGCATTTGCAACTGCATGTGCAATGCTCTGGATGGAACCTGCCACTGCATGTGCAAGCCCTTCCTGGTCTGCCCGTTATGAACGATGGATCTATGAGGGTGGTGATGGTAGAAGAGGGCTGGCCTTGGAAACTGGGGAAATGACGCGATATTGGTCTGGCAGCATGGCACAGAGCGTATGAACTCGTGAAGCTTGGTGGAGAGGAACAGATGGCGAGCTTCGTGGGAGAAGGCCTGCGCCGGAAAGGGTAGATGGAGGTGGAACAGAGCGGCAGGGGACGTCGGCCTGGATGGTCACTTGAGCGCGAAGAGGAGTGAGCTCCCATGGGGGGAGGAATCGTGTCAGGTTCATCGTAGTGGTCACATGGTGGGTTAAGTGGTCGTAATTCCCCCCCTGCCCGAAAAGAGGCAATGAAACATGAGGGTAGTTTGCCGAGAAGATGTGCTGAGAGAGGGGCAATGTCCTGAAGTCTGTGTTGTAGGACTGTTGTAAGTAGCCTTGCAATGTATCACGCTGTGAGCTGAGTAACAGTGATTGAGTATCACCCCTGCCAAAGTTGGCCAGACGTGCTGAGTAGGCCCTCGCAAGAACCATGAGACAGTGTGCCTGGCTTGTCCGAGTCTGAGCGAGTAAACCCAAACTGTGTATGTTTAGGTTCAGTTTGCTCTCCTAAGTATCCCAGGCCGACGCCCTTCTCTTATCCCAACAGCCGCTGGTCCCTGGACTCCAACATCGCGACTCGCCAAGGGTGTCGAACATTCTGAAATTTTGCATTGTTGCTATTATTGACATCTTTGGGGCATAGCCAGAATTAGTATACGTGTCGGTCTCGCTATTATTCTTGCAGCGTCGGTGTTTGGACATATGTTTCAGGCTCGTTTCGGGATGCGGGACGGAAATTGCCAGGTTATGAAGCCCGAGCCACGCACGGCCTTGCGCTACACCGTGGACTCCAAGTGTGAGCTTGCGGCACACAACCTGACCATGGACAGCTCCACAGGAGGGTGTCGAGTGCTTTGCAAGTCTGTACTAGGGGAGTTTTTTTGAGGTTTCGGGGGGGCCGAGGCTTGTGGACTTTGGAGGCTTTGGGTTTGTGGGTTGGGATGTAGGCTTCAAAGCTAAAAGACTTGGAGATCTATGGTCAGAGTCTCGGGGTAGGCGTAGGACGAAGGATTTGGGGTTAGCCCCCTTGGGAAAGGGGCCAGTAGACTGCTGTCCTTGAAAATGGGGCTGGGGACGGGTTACAATTTGCAAGATGGTAGGCACAGATGTCGTGTAGTATGATATAGCCTATAGCAGCTAGCATAGTGCAGCATAGCCTCATACGAGTTAGGATAGCCATACTGTTTCTCGGGCTCGGCTTACTGCATCAGTGTTCATGCAGGCATGGCTTAGGGTTTAGGGTTTAGGGTTTAGGGTTTAGGGTTTAGGGTTTAGGGTTTAGGGTTTAGGGTTTAGGGTTTAGGGTTTAGGGTTTAGGGTTTAGGGTTTAGGGTTTAGGGTTTAGGGTTTAGGGTTGTCACTTGCAAAAGGGTTAAGGGTTTAGGGTTTAAGGCATGGTGTGCATCTTTGAGGGTCAGGCGATTCGGAAGGTGTTGCTTCGCGGCTTCGCCCCTGTTGGGTGCGCTTATGAAAGTGGCTGCATTGCAAGCTTGTTTCGAGCAGCTACCACCGTTCTTCAGTTGGCCCATAAAGACAAGCAGCGTTTGTATCCACATCTGCCAAATCCATCTCCTCAGGCCCGAACAGAAATCTCCTACCAAAGAAGATCAAGGACGCAACACGGCGAAAACAAATCAAAAAGCAGCAGAGCGAAGCACACAACAAGATTTAAAGACGCCCGCAGGAGAGATCAGCTACATGTCTGGGCGGAGCAAGCCCGTGGAGGTCATCCTTGGGTTCCTTCTCTTTGCTTTGGGCCTTAAGGGCTTTTTTTGTTGGATGTCCTGGGGTGTTGGGTTGAGAATTTGCGGTTCTTTGCTTTTCCGACAGGCTTTTCAGGTGCAGGGCTGCTCGTGTGGATTTATGGATTTTGGGGGTTGAGGGTTTAGGGTCTAGGGTTGAGGGGTTGAGGAGTATTTGGTGCTAAGGGCTTGGGTTTCGCAAGACGCGGCGTGCGTGCGCAGGCTTCGAGCAACAGGGGAGACCTGCAGACGCGGGGTTGTGGTGTTCAGGGCTTCGGGCTTGCGATCTGTAGCGAGCTCCTAATCTGGCAACCAGAACCCGAAACCCTAAACCCAAACCCGACATGAGACATGCAAAACCCGAACCCTAAGCCCTAAACCCTGAACTGACGTAGACACTGAACTGTCAGATCAGGATCTTTTGGGGGTGAAAGCCGGCTTGGGACTTAGGTCTGCAAGACTTTGGGTGACCAGGCTTTCGGGCTTTTGGGGTTTAGGTCTACAGGCTTTTGTTCTGAGGTTCGGTGGCTTTCGACGGAGCAGACCTGGTGCAAAACACCTAGAATCCGGGCATGCCTGCACCAAACCCCAAGCCCAAGACCCGAAATCCTACCATGCCTTACCCTGAAACCCCTTAACGACCGTAAAAGACATGCATCCTAAGAAATCCCCAAAACCCTACTACACACTACGAAATCCTTCGAAGTCTTCGTGGTATGGTTGCTACAGTTTCGCACAGTACATTACTAACATACTGTGCTATACTATACTAACTTTACCGTACTATATCAAACTTCCAAGCCTGGAGGCCTTCTCCTTCGAGTGTGAGATCACTGCCCACCAGGCCAGGCTGTCCGCTAGGCACAGATCCGTTTGGGGTTTGTCTAGAATTTGGTGGGGTTCTTTTTTTTTTTTTTTTTTTTGGGGGGGGGGGGGTTCCTGTAGGGCTTTAGGGTTTTGGGCATTGAGATGGTTTGAGGGTTTCTTGGGTCTCCACAGAGCCGACAGAAATCATTTTCAGAAGCATTGTGGAAATGTGTTCGGAAACATGTTTGGCCAGAAACATTTCCACAAAACTGAGTCTAAACCCAAGGAACTTGCAGCTGTTGCACAGATATTTGGGGAAAGCATTTGCAGAAAGATTTGTGGACATCATGTCTAGAAACATGTCCAGAAATATTCACGATGTCGCCAGATGCTTTCGCCTATCCGGCATCCCACAGCAAACCCAGAGCCCAAAACCCCAAAATCCTAAACCCCAAAACCCTAAACCCTGAAAGCCCCAAACCGCAAAACTTAAAACCCCAAAGCTCTAAACCCAAATACAAAAACCGCAAGACCCTAAAACTCTAGCCTTAACTTTAGGCGTTTGGGAATCAGGGTTGTGGTTTAGGGTTTCGCATGTGAATACCATGTTGAGGGATCAATTGAGGTTATGTTTCGGGATCCCTATTTTTTTGCAGGGGACCACCCCGCGCCAGGCGACAGGTGTGAGCCTGGCTTCCGTCGTCACGGTGGCCGCGGATGTGCTGAGCTACAGCTGACTGCTTGAGGTTTAAGAGTCTGGGGCCTTGGGTTTGGGTTTTTTTCTCTGCGTGTTCTCTTCAACACTTCGCATTTCGGTGCCTTTCTTGGGCTCCCACAGTAGCTGTCGGGCTTCAGGGTTCCGGGTTTTCATCGAACCCTACAGCCTTCATCCCTCATACATGCAATGATGATTGGGATCTTGTCAGGGTTTTTGTAAGGGTTTCTACAACGGTCTCATAGAGGTTCTGCGCGTTTCCGGAAGCAGGCCGCGTACCAATCAGGAGCGTGCAGCGGTATGCAGGAACCCTAAAGCCTAAACCCTGAACCCGAAAAGGGGAACCCTAACCCTCAAACCCTAGATCTCCCCCAAAAGGAACAGCAAGGGCTCGACTCCGCATTGCAGAGTCTGTGATTCGATGTGGGCATTTCTCTACATTGGGGTCCCTTTGTCGGTCCCCAAACTAGTGCGGCACCCTAAACCCTAGACCCTAAACCCGAGCCTATGATTCGATATGGGCCTGCGTTGGAGCTGGCTGATAGCAAAAAGAGTTCGGGACCACAGCTCTGAGGCTCTGCCACTCTGCTTTTCCACGGCGACGGTCAAGAGGAGTTGCCACTGACAACCGGAAGCGGATGGTCCAAGTTTGAGACTTGGACGGCTGAGGCTTAAACTACACACCCCGAGCCTTGCGGCCCTGTGCGCAGCACTGTATGGTTACGACGCGTCTGAGTTGGTTGAAAATTGGGGCCAGGTTCAACTGTCTATTGCCATTTTGCTAGAGACCTGGATATCATCTCAGCGAAATCCACAAGTGCTTCTTTCTGATCACTGTGACTTCTCATCTTATTGATTGTGCGATGCATTCCCCAAACCCACTGTGGGGGATTGTATGCTTGCACTACTCGGAGAAAGGGCTTTAGTTTGAATGGTCCAAACCTGCCTGTCGCACTGCCACGTTGGGGTGTGGTGGCGAAGATAAGGACTACCACATCCTTTTCTCTCTGTACCAAATAGAATCTTGATGATTTTCCCGGCAAAGGTCCTTTCACGATCTTTCACTACATGGATGGAGATTTCGTTACCTTTTTGCGAAAGAGTGGCAAAGACTCTCGTTTTTGAAGCCGTGCGACACAGCTGGCAAAGATTTGTGGAAGTTTCTCAACCTCTCCAGTAAACTCCTTTAAGGTGCCTGGCAAGAGGACTCTGAACTTCAATGTACTCGGAACAATGCCACGGGTTCGAGAGCCCTCTTCTTCTGACTTCGGACTCCAGATTAATACCAGATATTCGGCAAATTTGTGGATGGAGATTTCCTTACCTTTTTGCAAAAGGGTGGCAAGGACGGTTTTGAAGCCGTGCGAGACAACTGGCAAAGATTTGTGGAAGTTTCTCATCCTCTCCAGGAAACTCATTTAGCGTGCCTGGCAAGAGGACTCTGAACTTCAGTGTAGTCCGAACAATGCCACGGATTCGATTTGTCATTGCAGGCTTCCTCCTGCTAAGCCCTTGTCTTCTGCCTTCGGGCTCCCCATCAATACCAGATATTCAGCAAATTTGTGAGAGGCTCGCTGCCAGACAAACGGCCATTGCTGCTGAAAAGAACCAGGCCTTTAAGAATCAGCTTTACAGTGCTGTCGAGTTGATTGAACTCGTGCCTGAGCTCTCCAGTCTTCGTGCAGATGCATGAAGCATGCTCTGAATCTCTGCTGCTCGACGTAAGCGCAGCTAGCTGCAGTGGGAACAACAAACCTTTGAAGCCTCTTCCTGTCGCACTGATAGTACATTCTGTGATACTATAGTATTTTTCTAGTATAAAATTATCGAATACTATAGGTATATTATAGTAGATTATATGTCAACCGTGCTTCTTGCCTTCCGTGGGAACGATGGCACCGGATGAGTGCTGACAGCATGAGACAAAACCTTTTGCCTCCTGACCATGCTAGAGGTTCGTCTCCATCTAGAAAAGCTTGTACTTTCCCGTGCCAATATGCTGGAACGACTACATTTTCAAAATGTCAACCCCTCTTTAATCCTTCATGTTTGTGCTCCTGCGCGGACTCGATATGTTAAGGACCATTCTGCAGCACTGCATTTAACTTCTCGTGTAAAGCCGAAAGGTTTTCGCGCCTGCCTAAGTAGAAGCTTATTGTCATGTCGTCTATACGCTTCGTTTCTTGGCAGACGCAAGTCCGACAGAGCCCTAAACACCAAACCCAAAACCCTAAGCCCTTCAACCCTGCACCATGAGCCTCCGAACCCGAGCCTCTGGGATGAATTCAAACAGCCTAACTTCGGAGCCCTGATTTCCCAGACTGCCACACTTCATAGAACTCTCCGAGCACAAGCCCCAAATGACTTTAAGATACTTTACACGCCGCGAGCCCAACCTTAATCATAATCTTCGGCCCTTAAGCCAAGATCCTGCAACCTTCAAGCTTCAAATTCCTAAATCCATAAGCCTAAACAGTGCTCCGACATTCCTAAAGCATAAACCCAAACCCACACCCTGAACCCTACACGCACTAAAGCCGAAAGCCCTGAAGCCTGAACCCTAGACCTGAAATGCACGAAACCCAAAACCCTAAGCAAGAAAGGAGCTGGGCTGCGCACCGGAGGTCGGTATCGTTTTCGCAGGGTTTGGGGTTGAGGTTTCAATGTTTAGTTTAGGGTTTAGGGTTTTAAAAGTTCGGGCTTAGGGCTTAGGTTGGGGTTTAGGGCAAATGTAGAGTTTAGGGTTCAGGGTCTAGGGCAAACAACTTCAGGGAACTTTAGGGTGTCAGGACTTTAGGATTTCAGACGGTCGAGGGGTGATCGTATCGCTGATTCCATGTGACAGGTCAGTTGGCTGAGCATCGTTGCATCCACCGGCACATTGCGCCGCTTGGTTTCCGAGTTCATTGTCTAG